AAGGTCTGTGTTAGATGGACCGGTACTTGCTATTCCAGCAAAGAATGTCTCCTCTGTATCAGATGTTTCTTCATGAACCTCAGGAGTGTTAGGTTTCTCCATGGAGTTGTCATGCTGCTCTTTTCAAGACTGTTCCTCATCTAGAGTCCTTTGATAATCTCGGTATTTGTCTGCAGGACGGGTCTGGCAACTGCTTCTGCGTACTCCTAGGACTTTAGCAGGCATGACTGCTCTTTTAGGAACTTGTGCAGGTACTCCAGGGAGTAGACACATTTGTGTATTTGTTGCCCCACTCACTCCTGAAGGTGTTGAATCACTCCTTGGAGGTGTTGTATGCCTTCCAGAAGCTGATCCAATGGACAGGCTGTCTAGCTGTATTCGGACTTTTTCCACATCAGCTGGCTGTATGTTGAGGGGCTGTCCTCCCACTGACTGTAACTCTACTTTGGCTTTCCGTTCTGAAGATGGCCAGTGTTCAGGTCTTGGTTGTAGAGACTGTTGTGGAGGGTGTCTTAGCTGATCAGGTGCTCCCACTGCTCTCGGAACGTCTCCACGGAGGTATTGCCCCACTGCTCTCGGAACATCTTCATGCTGATATGGTTCCATTGCTTGTGGAACATCTCCTTGGAGATGTGGTTCCATTTACAATTCATTTGGATCTCGGATCCGAGGGTCAGGATCATCCTCCTCCAATGTTTTTTGGTCTGGATAGTGAGCATTCTCTGGAATGAGTCCCTCCCACTGATCTGTGCTAGTGTCTGTGTTCTAGGGAGCAGTGTCATCCTTTTGTACCTTTCCGGATTCATTGAATATGACATGCCGACTGGAAAACACAGTCCGTTTTTCAGTGTCTAGGAGTTTGTAGGCTTGCTTTCCATGTGTGTAGCCAATCATTATAGCTTTGCGCCCCTTGGAGTAAAACTTCCATTGCCTTTTGTCTTTTGGAACCAAGGTATATGCTTGGCATCCGAAAGGGCGAAACAAAGTTGGATCAACTCTCCTTTTAAACAGTATTTCATATGGGGTCTTTCCATGGAGTCCTGATGCTGGGCTGCGTGCTGTGATATATGCAGCTGTTTGCATGGCATCTACCCAAAATGACTTTGGGAGCTTGGAATCATGCAGCATAGTGGTTGCTAATGTAGCCAATATCTGATTCATGCGTTCTGCAATGCCATTTTGTTCCGGAGTATCTGCAGCTGTAGTTTCTTGGATGACACCATCTCCTCGGAGTTGATTTTTGAATGCATTGCCAGTATATTCTCCTCCCCCACCGCTCCGGAGGAATTCTGTGTATAGTGGAGTGAAGTTTTCTTCTCCCAAATGAGTCCGGAAGAATGTTTGGACATCTTCTTTCCATTGCTTGTATCGTTCCAGTGCTTCACTTTTATGTTTTAGGAAATATATCCATGGAAATTTGGAGAAATCATCTACAATGATAATCCAGTACCGAAAACCTTCCCTGGAAGTTGGTTTGATTGGTCCTCCAACATCTGTGTGCACAATTTGTATGGGGGCGCTTGGCTCGGTTTTCTCCAGTGGACTTGAAAGGTAATTTCTTCATCTTTCCTAAAGCACAAGGTTCACAAAACTCCGGGGTTCCGGTAAGGGTGTCTATGTCCTGGAGCTGTCTTTTTGTAACCATTCGTTGCAAGCGGTCCATTCCAATTAAGCTCCTCTCCAGTAACAACCCGGAGAACTTTTTCCTGACGTAGCTTTGAGATGATCCAGAGTTTCCATATCTGAAAATTGTTGGGTCCAGTGAGAACTGGACATGCGGATGTATTGCGTGCTGTGGTCATGGTTCCGAGGTTGCCGTTTCAAATAAGAATTATTTCCTGCATAGCTTTTGTGCACCAGGGCTCATAACCTAATAAAACTAAGTGAAACTCAGCCGCTGCCCGAGAGGCTATAGAAACGACTGAGGTATTCCTATACTAAACCCCCTACTACTTATAGTTGGAGGTGCTACTCGCTACAGTATAATGACTCCTAGGAGTACAATTGTGCTCCTAGGAGAACAATGGTTACTCCATGGGGTGGTGGCTATGCTCCATGGAGAATAATGGCTGCTTTGGCAGAGACCGGGTTTATCCGGTTTTGTCAGGATGTTCTTGCTGGCATGCTGGCTTGGACATACTTTATGCACTGGCTGGGTATATGACTCATGTGCCAGCCAGTTTCTAATTTGTGTTATCATTTTGGCTGGGCCATGATGAGTTAATTTGTAGTGGATAGCAATTTCCAGGCTCAACAGATAAATCAGAAAAGGCCTGAGCTGGATATCTTGCTTATTAATGCTGAAGAATACATGGTGGTTGAGGAACAGTACCAATCACACATAGCATGTTCTGTTGAAAGCAAGGCGGTAAGTAAGCTATACAGTTGAATTACAAGCTTTTCTGAAATTCAACAATCAGAAATCATTATGCAGTAACCATCAAGCTGTCAACTCTGCCAATACCAACTGAAGCAACTTACATGCAACAGGTGTAGGGGCAGCTGCTTGTGCAAGGCATGGCTGTTTTGTGCCCACCTCAGTGGTTGACTTTCAGACAGGAAAAAGGTTTTTTTTTTTGCTTGGACACATTCCTGGTAACTGAAGACTTCCCCACAAGCAAATGAATATTGACTACTCAATCTGTAATGCAGTAAAATACCAAAGTGAAGGTCTTCCAAAGACCCTCATCATCTATGATATTGGATGTCAATAGAGCATTCACTTTTTGGAAAGAGTTTCCAGCAGTCCCTACCTGGACTTCCCATATCCAATGGAATTATTGGTTGCAGTAGGAAATTTTCACCTCAGTGCCCATAACTTAAGTGCTTTGCAAGATATTGCCTAAACTATCTTCAGGGGGCAGGGCAAATTGATAGAGAGATTCTGGAGACACTCTGGGCATCATTCAACAAGATGTCCCCAGCAGCTAGGTCAATGTCTCAAGCTCATCATTGAGAGGTTTACAATGATCATATGAGAGATTTGAATTGGAAGAAGCTTGTTGGGATTAGTATATTCACCTTTTCTTAGGATCTATTAGCATTTCTTTACTCTTTTTAAGTTGATACCCTCCTACAAAAGTTCAAGCAAGCTAAAAAAGGTGTGCTAGAGACTAAGGCACCATACTTTCATCTTACATCATCTTTGTCACGTGACAAGATTCTGAAATGCACTGAAGATGAAGAGATTGTCATGCTAGAGAGGGGAGAGGCACTTGACATTGACGCTCTTCAAATCACCAAAGGTTAGTCAAGTTACTTGTCTGATGTAAAAACCTGGCCTATGTTATATGTTTATCCCAGAAGCATCAATGGGTGATGTACAATTGGAATTAACTGCAAGAGAAGCAACAGAAGGCCATGCCATAGAAAGTGTGGCTTGGCTAATAAGCAGATTCAACTTAGAGGATGTCCAGTTAGTAACATTATGGGAGTTTAAATCCACTTATAGTGACTCATCTATGTTGGCAGGGATGCACTTAGGGTGGAATTATGGCAACTCCCTTTGGATGCAACAGTTTCCCAGAAGACTGACATTGAGGCAAAAAAACAATGTTTTATGGCCAGAATCATTGCCTTTCACCAGAAGACTAATGCAGTCCTAGCTGGCATTGAGCTTGATGATGACAAAGTTCCCCAGGAGTTAGTGGATGACCCCAGGCTTGTGGAGAAAGAAGGCAACACAGCAGAGGAAGGATGGGAAGACTTGGACACTGCTTCAGAGAATATCAACATTGACGAGGAGGAAACACCCATACAAGCAGAGTATAAGGGGATATGGATACCCTTTTGCTAGGATCTTACTGATGCCATGATGAAGTGATTGAAACAGCTAATCAAGAAAAAGATCAAATTACAAACTGGCCATGTCAACAACATCTTGAAAGCCTTCACCTTGCACTGGGACTGAAATCAGTGATTTATTGGCAAAAAGTTTGAAGTGCAGATTCAGTTTACACAGCAACACAATCAAAGCAGGAGATTGAACGAGCTAATGCTAAGATCAACCGGCATATTTGTAGCTATCAACGCTCACATAAGGTCCTAATGTGCCTGGGTGCAGGTGAAAGGATACTGGCAAAATTCCAGGATATTCTCCCGGAGCACCTTTCTGTGAACAAAGATATCAGAGAAGAACCATCATGTGCAGGGTAGTGATATTTTCCCATGGTTCTCAAGAATGGGGGGTAAACAACCAAATAGGGACCAGAATGATCCTTGGATGATAGAGTGTAGCATAATGGCTATTACAAATTACTTACATTATATTCATATTAGTCTACAGAGTGAATTGGCTTAAGCCAGGTATGATTAATGGGAGGAAGAATTGAAACTCATGAAGTATGAAATGTCTTGGACAGTTCATTGGTTCAGATATCAGGAACATGAGTGGAAAAGACAAGCAAGAGCTTCATTATGCCCAGGAGCACCCGTGTATGCAGAGAAACAGGCTTGTATGTGGAGAGAGTTTGAAAAGCAAGCAGAGCAGTCATTTAAAGGTAAAATGCATGTTTAAACCAGCTCTCAAAGACAATTGTTTATAAGAATGTCTGATTGATGGGTGCAGCTATACAATTAGTAGCTAGCTAGTTATTTTGCACATCTGGTCAGTGTAAGTGATCAACTTCATATTCTAAGACCAAGCCTTATTTCCTCAAAAGTGTGCCAGCTAGGTGTTATGGTCATGTTGGCCAGTCTGTAGCATACATTAATATAAGGGCTGGCCAACTTATACATTGATATAAGGGCTAGCCAGTATATATAATATCTTGTTAATGCTGGCCAGTATGTATGACTCTCTGCTGTAAAGGCTAGCCAGTCTGTAGCATCTTTTGATGTAATGGCCAGCCAGTATGTATAATATCTTATTGACAAGGCTGGCCAGCACACATACAAATTTTATCTGGGGGCTGCCAGCCTGTAGCAACCTTTGTTGTAAGGGCTGGCCAATACATATGATACTTTATTGTAAAGGCTGGCCAGCACACATGTTATTTTTGTCTGGAGGCTGGCTGGCATGTATTCTACATTGATATAATGCTGGCCAGTACATAGGATACTTTTTTTTAAAGGCTGACCAGCACACATGCTACTTTTGGTTGGGGGCTGGCTAGTACATACAATACTTTTATCAGTAGGCTGGCCAGCCTGTATAAACATTTTTGCTGAGGCCTGGCCAGTCTATAATAAATATTTGGAGAAAGGCTGGCCAGATGTTAATTCAGGGCTGGCCGGTTCATATGGTACCGTAGTGGCCAGCCAAATGCAACTTTTATATAAAGTAGCCTGGCCAGCCTATACCCTATTTCCCGGCTCACATAAACTCCACATGCTGACTGGGAGGTATAGCTGACTGGAGGTAAGACCTGGCCAGCCCTCCTTGTACATTTCTGGCTAGGCTTCACTCCAGGGAGCACCGGCTGGCCGTACAGCCTGTATATTATATCCCAGTTAGCATGTTCTTATCATGTATATTACGTGGAATCTGACTGAATGGTCTGTATATATGGCATATAGATTCTATTAGAGCTGATAAAGCACATCATAACCACAATAAAAGAGATATAGACTATTATAGCCGATAAAGCTACTATAACAACACCAAAGTTTGTATGGTCTGGCACACACACAACAGACAAGCAGAGAGGGTAAATGAAGGTAGCCATTCAAGAGGGCTAGGAATTCTGATTTTCCATGCATCAAATGTGCATCCACCACCTTCTTGAGTTCAATTTCTTTGTTATCTTCCTGGGTGACTACTACCAATCCGGGCCAGTCTATACACACTCCAGGTAGCAGTCCTTTGTAAGGTTTCACCCAGCTAATATTATCTGTGGGTACTACCTTCACTTGTTCTTGGGGTTCTATCTCCACTATATTGGGTTTGGCTTCCTTAATACAGTAAGGGCCAATCTAGTTTTTGGTTAGTTTTCTAGGCTGCCAATCTTTTAATTTGAAGTGGTTAGTATCTAACCAGTTCAAGTCCCTAACTTTGTATTCAGGAGTAAAAATACTATAGGGTACCCATTGCCACTGTAACCCCACACTACAAATATTTAACATTGAATACTCACTGTGATTCTGTGAACACTCTGCAGACACTTTATCTTCAAGTCCTTTACTGTAACAACCAAATTTTGTATACTCTGGCGTATAATGAAGACAGGCGAGGAGGGGAGAGGATATTCTCTATTAGGGTAGGACTGAGTTTGTTATGGGTAAATAATAGGAGAACTTGCTGAGGAGTCTCCTTGATCTATTAAGGTATATATACTACTACAGGGTATTTGTATATGTATGCTATACAGTTGCTAAGGACAGTGGCTGATGATATTATGGGGTGCAGCTCTTGTGACCAGCTCCACTATGTGAGAGAGTTGTATCTAAAAATAAGAGAAAGTAGAGCAGTATGAGAAAGTAAGTGGAGTTTGAAAAAAAATTCAATTAAACATGACACAAGTGTCCACCGGGAAAGAAAGTTGAAGTGGAGACTGAAAGTTTGAAGTCCAAAAATTGTGTATTGTAACATCTACACCATGTTCAAGAGTTTATCACCATTGAAGGGCAGCAGCCCTTGTCATTATGGAAGTCCTACCAGTTTGCTGTTTGGTTCCAGGTCCAGTCTTTGCCTTGCCTCAAAGGAGATAAAATCATTGCAAAGAATTATCAATGTACACCCTGTAAGTTATTCCATCTTGAGGCTTCTTGGTTTATCCTTACCTTTTTGTAGGTTCCACTTGAGGTTGGAGCAGATGATGTGATTGTTGAAGACCTAGTGGACTTTGCTAGGGCCATGGCACACCAAGTATAACCAGCTTTTGTCGCACCCAAAATTGATGAAAAAGCCTGACAGTAGCTAGAATATTTGAATATTTGATTGTATTTTTGGACCCACAAGATTTTGTCAGAATAATATATTTTTATTAACATAATGTCATATTTACACACAAAAAATAGTATCAATGGAAATATGTCAGGGGCCACCACATGTGTTGTAGTTTGCCCTTACTATTTAAGTTCAAGTTAGCTCACCCACAAGACTTTCAAGTTTATACCTGCAATATCCTTCTGAATCCACTCTGGTTTGGTCTGACAGCTTTGGTAGGGTCAGTTATCCTGGCTTTTAGCGTTGCAGTTGTGTAGTGAGGTGGTAGCTGTATCATGCATTTGTAGCATGAAGGACAGCACAAGAGCTTTCAATCAGTCAGAATTTTGGGATACACTACATTAACAGTATATCTGTCATTTAAACCATGCGAAAGTAGTACTTTTGCTCTCTCTCCTGAAGTACAGCAAGACAGTGCAACATAAACCATATGAAAACACTGAAACATGTAAATCCAGCCCAACCTGTGTCACTGATTTCCCTTGAGATTTATTGATGGCCATGGTAAAGGCAACACAGTTAGGGGATTGATGATGTGATAGCTTGATGGGCAATTCTTCTGACAAAGGTTCTAATGTAAGACTTGGAATAATAGCTATTATTCCTGCATGTTTTCCTTCCAAGGCATGGCACTTCAATACTCTTCTTTTCATCTCTATCAAAACTATGTGTGCTCCATTACAGAGTCCATTTACGGGATCAATATTGTGGAAAAGCATAAGCAGACATCCAACTTTAAGTATGAGGTGCGCTCCAGGAAGGCCAGATACTTACAAGGAGTTCAAGAATTCCACAAGGCAATGTTCATGCTCCTTTGACCACTTTATCAATTTACAGAGCTACTAACTCTTTTCCGGATAATTTTATGAGGATTCCTGAATCAAGGTCACTAACAGCATCATATGTTTGTGGAGAGGATAGTGTGGTGGAGGAAACAATGATCATCTTTGTCTCCATTTGTAATTCTAGGATAGGCCATGTTAATTAATGAGTCTATGGTCTCTTCTGGCATAAGTATGTTGGTTGGAAGCTCAATAGTTCTATCTCTTGCAATTCTATGACCACCACCAACATCCAGAAACCAGCTACCAAAGGCTTCACTTTCTGGAGTACCATCCAGGCACATGTTCTGCGCGAGATAGCAGACATGAGTATTTGTTACGATAACACAATTTCCGGACATCTCCTTTCCTTTTTATTCTCCGCTTTAACTTTATACTTCAAGTGCCACGCGGCATTTCCCTTTCTTGCGCCGTGTTGCCTTTCTTTTACTTTTAGACTTAACTCTCTCACGCAGTGGAGCTGGCCATACGGGCTAGACCCTATGACATCATCAGCCACTGCCTTCATCAACTGTATAGTACACATGTACAAACAAACCTGTAGTAGTATATATACCCCAATAGATCCAGGAGACTCCTCAGCGAGTCCTCCTGTTGTATACCAACTAACTCACTGCAGCCCAAGGGGTACCCACTCCCCATCTTCCACTACCTTTATAGTGTGTTCCTGTGTGCGCCAGAGTAACTAACTCTTGGTTGTTACATTAGGACTCGCTCTTTCTACTCTCTCGCACGTTTGTGCAAAAAGTCCCACTGGGCACCCGGACTCCAGGGTGAAGGAGATTGGTTAGCGGTTAGGAATATCCCACATAGCAGATAGGTGCGCTCCTAGCGACGGCCTTGTAGTGCTTCGGGAGAAGAACACAAACCTTCGATACACGGCCCCCAGCGTTAAGGGGAGTACCTTAGCTCAGCAGTCGGTGTGGAACCACTGTTGATTAGATTTTGAATACAAACTTTCACTTTCGAATACCTCTGACCAGGCCGGGCACTTGCCTCCGCCAGTCTGGAGAAGGGTTGACAGCTTAACAAGCGGACCACCCCCTGACAACCGTTCGGACCAGGGTT